GCCTAGGATGGGTACGTCAATCTATCTGAAATGAACAGGTGGAATCGCATATGAGGCACAGGCATAGAAAAGGGTATAGAAGATACCAGTCGGACCGAAAACACGACATCAATCGAAGATAAGATGAAAAAATATGGAAAGAGACGAAACAAATGATGCAGAGGTCGTACGCCCTGAAAGAGAAAAGGAAAAGAGAATTGCCATATTTTGTCTGTATGCAGGATGCAGCAATACCATATGTTCATGTTTCAAGTCCCAGATCCCAGTGTTTTATGTGGTCATTGCCCGTACTCCGTACATCAGCATGGAAAAATACTGCCAGTTGCCTCGCAAGAAGCAGACAGCCCGCTTCATCCTCACTCTCACCGTCTCTTCCCAACACGGATGCCGCCTCGTCCGCTCTGTCTTCCTCCCCTGGGAGGATTTCTCCGTTTCTGGATCCGGCCGTTGCCACTGGGGCCATGTGTCTTGGGCACTCCGAGTCCGCGACGGGTCGACTGCGGGCCCTTGCCATGGTTGGACGCGGAGGCCGGGGCTTCGTCGTCGTTGTCGTTGTCGTCGAGGTCCATGCCGTCGCCGCCGCTGTTCTTCTTCTTCTGGGCCTGAGACATCTTGAGACGACCCTTTTGGCCTCGGCGGATGGCGTCGGGTCCGCTGACGGCGGCCAGGTAGGCGTTGATGCCGCTCTCGCCTGGGGCGGCGTCGCCGCCAGGCGCACCGGACATGTCGACGTCGTCCTTCTCTGCATCGCCGATGAGGAGGCGGCCGTCCGGGCCGAACTTGGCGGCATGCTTTTTCCGGGAGCCAGGGCCGGTATTGAGGAAGCGGACACTGGGCTTGGTCGTAGAGATGCTGGCCAGCGCGTCGGGGGCCAGGAGATCCAGCGGGTTGTCCTCCGGGGACATCTCACGGATGTACTGCTCGTTCTGCTTGCCCTTCTTGCCCTTGCGGCCGCGAACGTGGGTGTTACCTTGCTCGTCGACCTCGATCTCGCTGGCGTCGTCGTCGGAATCGGAGAAATCTGAGTCGTAGACGGCCTTGTCGAAGGCGTTGCTGTAGGCGGCTTTGCCGGCGTTGTCGGCCGCGGCCTCGTCCTCCTCCTCGTCTTCGTCACCGGCGCCTTCGCCTTCCTTCTTCTTGCGCTTGCGGCGCTCGCGCTGCTTCCGAATATTGACCACCAATTTGCGGTCAGCCTCGCCGACCAATCCTTCAATAAGAGGAGCACCAAAGCGGCGGATCAAGCGATCCAAAATACCCTTGACTTTGCTGCGGAGACGACCCTTATGCTCCTTGTTCCAAACCATGAGGTTGGGGACTAGAGTATTCAGGCGGGGACGCAGAACGTCATCGGGGAGGACGACAACAGCAACCTTGACAAAGCCGAGGACGGACCGAACGATTTCCCGGTTGTTGCTTGTAAGGAACAACTCCACTGTCTGGACAAGGTCAATGCGGACAGACGGCTCGAGTTGAGTGTGGAAGTCAAAGAAAAGGCGGGAGAGTGCTGTGACAGAGGCAGCGACCATGTGCGGCGAGCTACCAGCCAAACCAGCAGAGACCATGGTGAAAAACTCCTCGATTGTTGCCGGAGCATCGGGGGCGTCGTTGGGCATATGAGGCACCAAAGAGTTGCGAATCTTAGTTCCTGGCGGGTTCCGGTCGGAATCAATGGTCCGCTTAGCAAGGTGGATTAGAAGGTCAAAGGAGGCGGTCCGGGCTTTCTCGTTACTCTCTTTGCAACCCAGAACAACCTCAGAGAGGATGGAAGGAATAAAGTGTAGATCAGAGGTTGGGAGGTAGGTAATCAGCTCGTAGATAGCTAGGCTTCGATCCCGACGGGCAGAGGCGGGCGTCTTGTCTGCCGTCGCGAGCATGAGAGCCTGCAGCTCTGCACTGCGCTCAAGAAGAGCAGTGCGGCCAGTCTCCGTGGTCGCCAACCGGGGAATTAGTTTGTAGGCTTTCTTGATCAGCTGCTGATCGGTCGTTTGACCATTCAAAATAGCTGCAGCAAGTGCGAACAGGCTTGCAAAGCTTGAGCGGGGCAGGTAGATCGACATGGCAATGACCAAGTCGATCAGGGTGTGAGATGTAGGAGGCATCTTGTCGCCAGAGCCGGTCTGCTGATTGCCCTGCTTGGCTGCTTCCTGCTCTGATGCCACAGAGGACTCGAGCATAGAGGTAACCCGTGCAAATGTTTCATTGAGCTCCTGTTATTCGTGTGAGTTGATGGCATTCGTCAGATTGAATATAGAGAATGACTGACCTTTTCGGGGGTAATGCTCAAATAAGCATTGATACACTGCAGAATGTAGCCTCTGTAATGCGGGAGTGTCTGGCTGTAGACGTTGAACAGCACAGCAAGCAAATTGCTAGCAAAACCAGCCAAGTGGGCAATGTTTTTCTTCGCAGCGGCCTTTGTGATCCTCCGCTGGAGAATCAGATCGTCCTCTTCCGACTCAATGGACAAAATAGCTTGATTCGACTCGACTAAGGTTTGCAAGGCATTGCATATGTCAACACGCAGCTCGGTTTGCTTATAGAGGACGTTGGACAAGAGTTCTGCGAAACTTTGATCGAAAGCCTCGACCAAATCTAGAGGAAGCTCGCAGTAGCCAGGAAGAATAGCCCAGGTCTGCTGCACGAGCGTCTCGAAAATCTTCTTCTCCACGGTCTTCTCCGCCGACCCGTAGTCGACGACCTTCTGGTACAATGCTTCGCTCAGAGGAACAAGCTCAGAGCGGAAGTGAGCGAGATTAGTGTTGGTAACACTGTCTCTAAGAATCGGAAGGAACCACACGCGACCGGGCTGGCCGCTCTTCTGCTGATTTATGTTCAAAGGCAAGATTTCCAGTACCGCGGCAGGGCCCATAGCTTCAACAGCACTGCCGAGGACCTCGTCAGCCTGCTTCTTCCCATGGAACGACTCGTTACTGCGCAAATCTCCAATTATCTTGACAATATCGTCAAGGAACGGGCTAGACCGCCACTTGAAGCTGTCGAACATTGCAGAGCAGACCTTGAACACCTCAGCCCATGCTGCTTGGTACTTCACGGAAAGTAGGTCTTTTGCAGCTTTGGCAAGCTTCTCGAGGGTCTTCTCATCGTAGACTGAAGGCTCGAGAATGACATTCTTGGGTATGCAGTTGGCCAAAAACGAGATCAGGCATTCCGAGGCAGAAACGCGAATGTTCATCGAAGGCGAAGCAAGGTAACCCGAAATCATGTTAAACAAAGCCGGCAATTTTTCAAACGTATCCTCTGGGTTGATCTGCGCAGACACGTCATATCCACGGGACAATACCGCAATCCAGGGAGGGAGCAGCTGCGAATCGTTCTGAGCGGGCTTCAGCTCGGAGATAGCGTCTAGCAGACGGGGCAGCTTCGAAGATGAAAATTCATCCGCCATGCTGGAGAAGATGACTTCAAAGACCTCAAAAGCACCCATTGTGATGTACTCGTTGCTGGACCGAGACGCATTCATCAGCAACTCACAAAGCGGCTCAATCTTCTTGCTCGGCCAGCCTCCCGATGCGGTCGCGATCGTCTTCACCAGCTGGAGGGAGTGGATTACGAGGGGATCGTGGTTCTCCCGGCTATTCGCATCATGACGGCCCCGCTTATGCTTGGCCGCAGCCGCGATGCTATCACCCAGTGTCCGCAATCCGGTTTCTGCGCACATGTCCGCCGCGGGGTGGTCGAGCGAAGGGCTGGGGGGAGGATTCTTGAGGACCTTGATGAGAGCTTCCTGCGCCCTCTTCCGGACCTTGGGTCGGTGGTCCACCGCCAGACTCAACAGTCCCGCAATCGCTCGGCGCGGGCCGATTTGTGTGTGCGGAAGGTTCCATGAGGCAGCATCCTGGGCGATGAGCAGCGATTCGAGGCAGCCAATCGATGGTCTGAGAAGAGGAGCATCGACTTCCGGCAGAGAGAGCGCGGGAGCAAGGCTGGTGAGGATCTGAGAGAACTTCGAGCGGAGGATGGGCGCAGGGGCGTATTCGGTTGTGATATCGAGCAGGTAGACGACGGAGGTTGCTAAATCTTTGTTGACAATACCCTGAGTAGCTGACACGGACTGCGCCAACAACGCAAGAAGCGCTGCGAAATAAGCTGTCGCGGAAAAATCTGCCTTTTGGTCGCGAAGTGTATCTTCCACCGCAGAGAGCACCACAGCCGTCTATTAAGATGACAAGGTTCGTCCGTTAGCAAGCTATGGGAGGGGAAGACGGTGAACGGAAAGCCTGTGAGGGGACATACATGGTGCTGATTCTGCAGCTTCGGAGACTTGATCTTCTCCAGCTTCTCCGCCAGGGTCGCCATTATGGGAAGGACCGACCAACGGGCAGTTGAGAAGTCGTTCAGAGAGGTGCGATGATTGTCGTCTTGAGGGTAGAGACTTGCAAAAGAAAAAAGAGGTAGTGGTGGATGCGGAGATTTTTTTACTACGATTTTAGTGGTCGGAACAAAATTTTGGGTACTGCGATTCTTGGCGGGCCTATCGATAACATCAACAACACTCGATAAAGAGTAGAGAGGTATAGAAGAATTTATCACTCGTAATATCTGCTATGATTTGTGTAAAGATGCAGATGTAACAAGGATCCAAACATGAGATGTCTCGAAAGCGTTCTCTCATGTCTCGCTATCATGGTATCTCAAAACAGAACCCAATCATGCCGATGAACTCCACGTCTTCCGGCGCCCAATGTCTGCGTATAAGTACAGACGAAAAAAAAGTCGTATCGGAACACACTGATCATCAGACATTGCTTTCGCCTCGGGATCATTGGAGATACGCATCTCACATCCCTTATCCCATGTATATGTATTGGCTGCAACGGCTGTCTTTAACTTCAAGACCTCCCAGCTCTATTTAGTATGGGTCTAACCCCCACCCCCATCATATTTCTGTCCTTCCATTCCCTTCCGGTGCTGTCGTCGTGTGGCGAGAGAGTCAAGAAGAGACTGTCTTGCCCCCGTAATGTTTGAAGGGCATGCCTTGTGATCTCGGCCGTCGATATAACGAAACCCTTGATTTCTTACAGAACGATCTTTTGCGTCTTTTCTTGCCGTCGTACGAAACGACGCATTCACAGAGGGGTCGAACATAAGCGGATCCAACGTCAACGGCTAAAATAGGATCTCCCCGCTGTGCTCGGGTTCGAAACCAAGACTTTGGAGTTTGTTATGGCTCTTCTTGTCCGTGATTTTTCGCTTGCTGTCCTCCTTCTTCTTTAATTCGAATACTTCTTGGAAGGGCGCTTTCTGGAGATGAGGGGGAATATCGTCTTCCTTGTCGAGATCCTATAGCCCGGAGAGTCAGCGAATAAAAAAACCAAGAGAGGCAAAGCAGCCTGAAGGAAGAGAAGTCCATCATACAATTTCACCCAGAAGCAACACATTCTCTCCCCGGACAAGGAATATGCCTCGCGGAATATCGGCGTAGAGATTTCCTGCATAGAGTCGTTCAATGGTATCTTGGAGGACAAGGTTCGCTGTTGCCATGGCTCATGATTAGCTAATTTGAAAACGAGGCCTAAGAAGCCCTGCATTTCCGCCCGGGATCATACCGAATTGATCCCAACTTCTGAGCACGCCGATCAATTTTCTCCCGTCGCGAAGCACTAAAACCAGTTTCTCTTTACGTCACCGTCAGTCGGGCCCGCGCAACAATCACAATTTCTTCAATCAGGAAAATCGCTGCAACATACTATCTGTCAAGTCCAGCAATTGAGCGGCTGTAGTGAACATCTGCGGGGGTAATTGTGGGGGACCCTGTCTCATCGGTGCAGAGGGTCCCAGCATGTTGTTCTGCTGAGAGAATGACTGCGGTGTATTTCCACGCGGAGGGCCTGCGGGAGGATCGTTCAAAGAGAGTCTCTCCATGCTTATCCAGCAGTGATGATGGCGCAATGAAAGCAATGATTCGTTTTGCGGAGGGGCAGAGTCGTGTGTGGGTTGTGACGGAAAGGCTTGATGAAGCCTTGGTGGGAGAAATTCAGATTAGAAGAGTTCGCAGAATCTTGTCATTCTGCGGCGGGGGAGGACTCGAGGAGGGAAATGTATGAAATGATGTCGAGCTGTTAGGCACTTGACCGCGAATTACTGTCTCTTGAGCGGAGATCGCAAGGTTGAAGTGGGGGACAAGTTTGTCCTGTTTGATTCTTTGAACATACTGCTCCAGTTGGGTCAGCGACATACTACTAGCAACGAGACATCGGTGCATGGATACCATTCTGGACCTAGGATTCATGGAATTTTGAATCTCATATATAAGGATCTCATATATATTTTGGATATTATTCCTGTCTGTGCCCCTGAAGGTGTTGATACTCGGTGTCACCATGAGGTCAATAAACGCTACTTTCCATCTCGATATATTTTGCTCGGACAGCATCGAGGGATTAGGAAAGAGCTACGGACAATCACAGACACAAAGATCACGAAGATACATGATATACAGACTCTAATACAATAACCTCAGACCAGACAACAGTGCGCAGATTCAGTTCATAAAAGCAACAAGAGCAGCCTAATAGATAACATCTTTCCGTGCCTATATTCCTATATTCAGTGCTCGATCGGGCCCATATTCATGAGATACATCTAAATCTGGTGCTCACCGTCTCTCTTCTTGACAGATACTGAGATGATATGTCAATTCCGTGTCCAGACACTTGTCAGTATGACTCCTTAACATGTAATTTCTGCTTGCTTCCGTCCAGATCCTTGAAAACACTCACTATCAGAACATATTAACGGAAAGGCGCAGTTCGAGCCTATGGACCAAAAAAAAAGGAAAAAAAAAAAAGAAAAAAGCCCTAATATATACTAAGAAGGTACCTTAACGAATCGTGCTTCAAGCAGCCAGTGATGTAGCATCCCGCCTGACCAGGCACGGTTCCCCAATGGATGATCTCAACAGAACAAAACGCCACATAAACTAGGTAAAAGGAGCAAAGCAACAAATGTCTGAGCATTGAGAAGCATTCTCAGTCAGAGAGGGCGAGCTTATGAGGGATTTTGAACAGCCCAGACGAACATATCCTCTTTCCTCTGCTCCATCGGCCCTCCTGGCGAGTCTAAACGAAGCGCCTAACCACAGGACGATGGTCTGATAGACCGTCTACGAAACACTGACACCTCGATGTTGACCACGCATTCTTTGTTCCCTCCTTCGACTGTATGGAGCGCAGTATGGCTCATCCGAAGAGCCGATATTCGCCCTGACCGTCTCCTGAGACCGATGATACGCGGGACTCGTCGGCGGCGGTGGAAGTTGCATCACCTTGAATTGATCAACACTTATGATTCGTAAGCGGTACAAGTATTGCATTAGCTCAAAGTCCGGCCGACTGCCCGCCAACGTTTGACCTTGCTGATAATGAGCTACATCGACATGGTCGAGCATGAGGTCCCAGGCCCTCCGGTCAGGAGCGTCGTTGAACCTTTCTCCTGGACATAATGGGCACCGGGCCGTTGTAGGTGGCTCGTGAGTCCGGAAGTGGCTGAGAACATGAGTCCGCCACAGATCGGCGTCGTCGAAAGTCTCACGGCAGTCGAGAACGTGGAAGAGGCACATGTAGGTATGCTGACGGCGGTGCGGGGAGCGCAAAGGAACGACGAGAGCCCCGTTTCCGTCGTCCTGGAGGATTTCATGGCGTGCGAGTTCGGAGGCCAGTCCAGTGTCCACGGACACGCTGGATGATGATGCAGAGGACGCCGCGTCACTTGATAGGGACGGGACTGCTTCCAATGAAGCCATGGATTTGACCATGTTTGCACGATTACCGTGGCTGCTGGCTCTCTTTTCTGCGTCGAGAGTTTTCGGCGGGTTGAGGTTACTGAGCGAATCCCCGCGAGACGTCCCAGGCATCAAACACTTGGACTCGACACAATCCGGACGACAGCTGACGCGGTCCTGCTGTCATTTATTTAGTCTGGAACTATGGAGTGAAGGAGGGCCCCAGCGCCTGATTGCGACCGTTATTTTTTTTCATCATTTCATTCCCAGACGCAGCCAGATCAGACTGAGGGGTTCGCGAAATGAAAAAAAATAGACCTAGCGGGGGAGAGACACTCGTTACCTTTGGTATCTGAGATACAATAACTGCCTGTGAGAATCGACGAGAGAGAGCAGGCGTGTCTCCCTCCATCCCAGATTCCCCTGAGCACGAAGAAGATCGATACTTTTCTGATTTTTCTGACGGAAACCCAGAAGCGATACCTCGTACTATCGCGCGACAACTCCCCACGGGAACTCCTCCGATTTTAGATCTTGGAGATTTGGGTGGGGTAATCACCGGCCATCATTGATTTTAGAGCCTCAATAGTCATCGTAGCGGAGGGAGCCAACTGGTCGAGAAGCAGGAGAAGAAGAAGAGGAAAGAGGAGAAGGTAGATTATGGGAAATGACTGAAAAATGATACAGTACCCTTCTCTCGAATTCGAACGCTAACGAGCGAATTATGTACGCAGTCGCTCTAGACGCAAAGAGCAAATCCTGCCTGAGTAATACTAGCCAGCGTGGAAAGGCCCGATCAACTCAAGGCAGCGCACTGGAGCCACGTTCTGGCGTTGGGCTGACGAATCGTGCGAGAACGACAGAAACGTCGGCTATGATTTGCAGACGTCAGGCCATCAGGACATTGGTCGATAAGTCAAGCGACTGTCTTGGCTTCCTTAGGGAACTTCAATATATGGCAGCTTCCTCTGACTAACTTGAAAGGGAAGTAGATCCTTCTTGAGAAAGCCATGATAACGACCTCGAACAGGGCGTGGGATGATCGCCATGGCGTGACTGAGTTCACCAATCGCACTTCAGCAGCCGTGTCCTCGTTTATTGAAGTCAAGCGAGTACTTGGAGAATACCATGTAAGTGATCTCTCCAGGTCTAACCGAAAATTGCAAATCAAACGGAAAGACGGAGATAAATTGGCCGATTTCACAGGCCGGTTCCTGCTTAAACCCTTAAGGTTAGATAGCCAAGGTACCGTACTTGAACAATTCGAGGCCCTGGTCGAGATCCATCACATGCAGATTCCTATAGAATCACATGGTAGCCAGTCCAGAACCGGGGATTCATCGAGGGATGTACCCGGAAAGATGCTCGACCTACGGACTATAGAGCGAGAATGAGCGTGATTCGAAACAGTGCTACCCATTTCAGTACCATTTTGGATCTATTTCACAAATGGAAGAGAGGAACGAGAGGAAAAGTTTGACATGGTATGATTCATGTTATTCACACAAAGGCCGTAGCCTTGGAGAGGAAACATAGTGAATAACGGCTGAAAAGCCAGTTTCAGACAGATATGGTTGATAGAAGCAAAAGGGGAGTGAAGAAAAAAGATTAAGAGCCACGAAATCCGCCAGTCTATAGAGTAGTGATGCCCCTGCAAGAAAATTCAAGAAATGAGGAAAAGTAGAGAAGAAACACCGTCCAGCCGACACCTGTCATGCCCAGAAACCACCCTGTAAATGCACAAGTCTATTCATTTCGTGACGCACATGAAAATTTGGAATGAGTGAAAACCCGCTTTTTTGTACACATGAGATATCATGTAAACTCAGCTTGACTAGAAACGGTCCGCCAAGTCACCGCCGGCGACGGAATTACTGGTCGAGGACGACACTGATGTGAAGCCAGGACTCAACAGGTCCTGGACGGCCACCTTGGGTACCTGGGGAACGGGGAGTTTGCGCTGCGTCCCGTCAGGCTTCGACATGATGTCACTGATGCTAGGACCAACATGGGGCTGAGTAGGACTGTAGTAGTTGGGTCCCTCGGGTTGCGGTTCCATTGGAGCCAAGGCGGGTGTATGATGAAGTGACAAGTGACGAATTGAAGGGAGTTGTAACTCGCTGGTACCGAGGGGCCTTAACCGCGGAGAATGAGCAGGCGTCGCCAGCGGAGTGTGGTCGGGGGTAGGAGAAAGAGAGTCATGGGAGAATGTAGGTGAAGAGGGAGCTGTGGAGTTGGGAGAGTTGGGTCTCGAACGCTTGACGCGATGCGAGTACATATCATCCTCGTCGTGCGAGTGTGAGCGCGACATATTTTGCGAGATAGCGTACGCCGAGAGCGACGGGAGGCGGTTGCTGTTGTGATGACGCGAGCCGAAGATATGATGCCCGCGCGGGCCATTGTGGAATCCATAGTGTTCATCACGCTCGACCTGAGAAGCGGCCGTAGCCAGCAGATTGATGTCCATGCCCGAAGATGCACGCTCGCTGTTGCGAGCGTAATGTCCCAGATTCGATCTCATGTGGCCCGCATAATTGGAAAACGAATGAGGAGGAGAGATATCAGGAGAGCCAACCTGCGAGACAGGCGCAGATCGTGTGATGGGCTTGCTGGGAGGTGGCATCATTGACGCAGCGTTGTCTTGATTTGCTGCGGCAGCGGCGGCGGCAGCGGCCAGGTGCTGAGCCTTGTTGTTGCGTCTCGAGTTTGGATTGTTATGGATTCTCGAGTGGCGCGTGAGTTCATCAGATCGACTGAAGCGCTTTGTGCAACCAGGGAACTGGCAGGCGTGCGGCTTCTCGCCGGTGTGTGTGCGAATGTGTCTGGTCTGATGCTCCAGACGATGGAATGCGCGGTCGCACAGAGGACATTTGTAAGGTCGAGGAAGATCCTGACGGGGCTCTTCGTTCGCCGGACGCGCTCCCTTCATCAGCGGAGGCAGCAGGCTTACGGAGGAGGCCATGTTTGAGTTCGACTGTCCAGTTGATGGGGTGGAGGGAGCCGATGACTTGTGCGCAGGTGTCGAAGGAGTTGACTCTGGGTTCTGAGGGTTCAGTAGATCAGAAAAACCCATAGAGGAAGCTGGTGGCGGCATGTGACGCTTGACCTAGTTCAACGCCGAAGAGAGCAAAGATGACTGGGAACCAGTGTTAATATATTAACACGATCCGAAGGAATAGAAAAAGCCGAGGCCAAGTTGCGCTGATCGCGACAGGGGTTCAGGCTAATCCGGGAAGTCGATCCCCAGCCGATAACGCCCCAGAGTCGACCTTGGCAAGGGAGATAACCCGAGAATACCGCAAGGAGTATCACGAGCCTTGCGAGACGGAATAACGACGCTTGACACGGATTTCGATTCTACTACAGAATCAAAACCAATGATGCCCGACGATAGGGATGTGGTAGGTAGTGAAGGTCTGTTGTTTTTGTGATAGCGAACCCGGATTCGGAAGGATAGCCGGGATTGATGTTTGTGGTGAGCCGAGTAGGTGAAGTCAAAGAGACGAGAGTCGAAAGAAAGATGAGGAGGGAAAAAAGTCTGGAGAAGTTGGTCTGGGGGAGAGAGAAGGGGAATAAAAAGGAACAGCCGGAAGAAGAATAATAAGGAATGGAGGGGAAGAAGAGAGAAATGGAGACCCAGGAGGGGAGAAAAAGCAGAAGGGAGTATAGAATGGAGGGGGTTTATCGGAATCGAAGACCAAGAAAAAAAAGAGGGATTAAAAAAAAAAAAAAAAAAAAAAAAGGAAAATAAAAAGAAAAAGAAACGTAAACGTACTTTTTGTGTGGGGTGCAAAAATTCGGGGCGGCAAAAAGGAAAGGGTAACAATAAAAAGAAAGAAAAAGAAAATAATGGTAATGAAAATCAAAAAGGGAGATACTCCGTACTGGTAAAGAACGTGCTTGAATCAGCTCTGCTCACTGTACAAATCCTTCAGACTATCGACCTTTCTTGAATATCCTGGGGAAAATTATTTGTGAATTTCTTCTTCTTTTCGCTTGCGCCTACTGTATCTCCCTAACGCTTCTCTCTAGCCAGCGACAAAATTTTGAGATGACTCCACGGAGTACTTAATCGTTGCCTATCTTACCCAGTGGTTGGTCTTTTTGGTTCGACCACGCACAGCGTGTTAGGGAAAAGCCTTTTACGTATCTCTTCTCAGCGAGGAAAACCCAGAATGTGGGGCGGACTAGGGTCGATAGGGATTACGGAGAAGAAAATGCAGAAGCGGCTGTGTGACCTGGAGAAGTGCGTGCCCCGTACGGAGAACAGGGGAGCCATGGTTAGTCAGCCGGTCAGTATGTAGCATTTATGGGGTGCAACCCAATCGATACATGTAATATTCATAGCAGATACGGAGGTGGCTGTGGAATAGGCTGACGCTTGATAGCAATAATAATAGTACTGGACACTTGATACTCACTATTAGTGGTCTGAAATCTGACACTCAGCATCAGTGCTTCCGGCTATCGCGGATAATCTGGAGAAATATCCTCGATAGGTAAACAAACAGATAAACACCTGAAGGGATCAATAAGTAGATACATAGTAGCTACTAGCTTGCTATTAGCTTGCTATTAGGTAGTATCTTGGTACGTAGTAGCGACGGGGCGCACTGAAATAATTCCGCGATCATCTGTACATCAATCAGAAGGGTCAATTGATCCATGTGATAAGCTCATTTTTCGACAATAAGGTATCATATGAAGGCTGAGAGTGGACGGTGACTAAGTGTTATTATTATGTTTCCCCCAAAATTCACTTTTCATAGTTTGAAAGGATCAGCTATGACTCAATTACCTTGGGATGTGATGATGATGACGATGATGGAGGAATGAGGTGATGACGACCACCAAGAATTTCCATATCTAGTCTACCTATCATACCTACATGCTCCCTGAGCCTTTTTCCCCCCATCCCCCCAAAATTTGCTTGTCTCATGTCTGGGGCAGAAATAGGACCGGGGAAGCTGAGGAACTTGGCGAACCGCCCAGTCCAGACCAGCTGATCGCCCATGAGTGGTCGATGGTTGGATAACGGGATGTTCCAAAGATAAGTGAGAGTAGCCAGCCAAAAGCATTGCAGAGGTCGAATAGAAAAGCAACAAGCATCCCCGGCGTGACGGATGGCAGCGATCATAGGTTGCGCAGGTGTCAAGGAAGCGCAGGTGCAATCTGGCAGAGTCATACGATAAGTGAAGCGAGACCCAATACCTCATAAATTCATCATCCGATGTGGCTGTTCTGCCCCCATCCACGGGCTGAGTTGGAGTACGAAAATAAGCCGGAATGACCAGGTACTGCGGTGAAGCTGGAGCATTGCATCAGCCTCACCATTCCAAGGGGTGCCGTCGGCAGTTACGGCACCGCATATGCTTCTCCATACTTCATAGTCATTCAGATCATAGATCATATGGAGTGAACAACGACAGGCCCGAGGCAAGAGTGTTTCGATACTGCCGTGGCTCAAAGGAATACAAACTGGCCGAGGGTTGTTACAATGTTCGGACTGGGGAATGACTGGTTTCAGCCATGACACAAGCCAAATTCTACCTTACTATTGTGGTTAAGCAACAAGAAATCATCATATTCATATGCATAATCTGCTACCTTTGGTAATCCTCTGCAGATACAGATAGACAAGTCCACATCTCGGCCCTTTGGCTTGACACCCTGGCATTGCTGCAGCCAAACAAAGTGGTCTAGGTAATTTTCTCAACCCCTGAACTAGTACTTCACCATCCTCTCTAAAGACACCCTGCATCGTTTCACCTTGTGGCCCCTACTTCAGAGGGGTAGTACCTATCTCATCCTAAATAGACACTACTCTGTATCATAGAATGAAAAGTCAAAACAAGAAGGAATTCGGAAACCATTTCTCCGCAATCCCCAGATCCGCGGAATACATTGCCCCGGATGAGGTTTCATCAGCTTTCGCAGTTCACAGCGTGTATATTTCCCCTTTCTGGGGCCGTGGATTCTGGACAAGACTCTGGAGAGACCTCCGGCCTAAGATACAGCACCGGATAAGAACGCCCCAAGAATTTTGAAGCGGAGCTCCTCCGTACTCTCCGTTCCCTAAATAGCCGCTGCTCTTCTATATTAACGTTGCAGCGGTTTATATTATTCATTTAAAGTGGCAACATGCCAATCAAACCTATATACTGTGCGTGCATTGATAGTTGTAGCATGGGTATCTGTACTGTAGTTCTTCCAAAAGACCAACAGATAGGGGCCCCCCAGGGGATAAAGGAGGACATGTGGTCGGAAAGGGCCCCGCCCAGCCGCAAGGGTGTGTTACCATTTCCGGCAGAAAGTGTCCGTGAGAAGCGCCACCAGATCAGTTCGCAGTATATCTGCCTCTGCTTCGCCAGATCTACTCAATATGTCGCCATACTGGATCGTGGGGACTCGGGAAGAGAGAATCATAAAGAGAGAATCATAAAAAAGTGCACTTTACACCCCATATACAAGGCAGAAGTGAATTCAAAAGGCAACAATACTTGGAACAATTGGTCTTTTTATTCTGAGTATGCAAGACTCGTCCGCGTAGACCAGCAGCTTGGCAAAAGATGCAGTTTAGCGAATAGTTGATGGTTGTGAATCCAGGGAGTTGGACAATATGCACGAAGCCGTCTGAGCTGTTTCCTAGTGGTAGATCTCTGTGAGAACTTCATGTTGATCAAGCGGTATCATTGGGTAGATGGGGCAGCTATCGACTGGGATGACTGCATTATTGCTTTTTGGACTGTAGGGTCCAGCTGGCTTCAACGGTATTGAATGGACCGGGGAAGAGTGGCATTTTCAAACTGCATTGGATAATTCTTGCAGACTTCTCAGTGCTCCGAAGCCAGGCGTCCTACTTGAGCAGAGACATTTGCAATTTTCCAGCACTGGCCTCATTGTGGTTTGTATTCCGTAAAAATCGAGGTGAGCTTTCGGTCCATCCCACACTATCATCGTTGCAACTAAAGTTGCCGAGTTGGGGGTTGAGGTATGGAGAGTGGTGGGGTGAATCACGGAGTCAACCCCCTGATAGTGATGGCAACATCTCGGCAACCGGGCCGGCATCAGCTGGCGACAACAGTACAGCCAAGAATTATTCCTTTTGATAATGTATTTTGTGTGGTCGACCGTGAGTATCCCGATGCCACAATATATGCCTGGACATGCGCAATCCGGAGCACTACTGTTCTACTGGCCGCTCCTATCTAAGCTGGACCGGTCATCTTGTTCAATGGAAAGCTCCGGCACAAGCCCGGCAGCTAGCTATCAAGGTCTTTACTATGTGGCCCTCCAGGCTCTCGCGGATCACTACTCGCAGAAAGCCGAGTCTATCCTATCAGAAGGTTCTCTTGGCCTCGTGGACCTTCCTTTTCCCAATTTTTCAGATGATCATTTTACTCGCACAGGTGCTAAACTAGAATCCCGCAAAGTGGATTAGATAGAGCTGAGCTGGGCCTTGGAGTAGAACGCAGGTACCACCTCAGGATTTGCTATCGAGGTCCTATTTCCCGCATTTTGCCGAGCTAAGAGTGGAGGGACCGACGGAGCTAATTGACTAGATATGAATTGCCTATCCTGGTAATCATGAGGTGGAAATCCTCCAAAAGTTGCCCTTATCGCTCGCTGGATTGTGGACGGGTAGAACACCCTGTCACGAGCTGCTGCAACGAGTTCTGAATGGCCCAAAAAAATGATCAATTTACCTACTTAGTTTGTCGGATAATCCGTTTGGGGGAAAGGCGCAAGTTCTCCGTGGGTATGAATTTTCAGTCCTGTTGTAGGGTAAAACACAAGTTGGAATGATATGGTGACGGGGTTAACGCATGGTCGTCAAAAGTGGATGGAAATGGATAGCTAAGGATCATAAGACTCAACTCTCGTACACTTTCCTAATTCGCTCATTGTGGGAAAATGTCGGACTTTACGCGGTTATCTGGGGAGATCTTCCCCGCCCCGATCTGTTTTGATGATCTACACTACTCAATTTTGTTTTTCTTTCCCTTTTGAGTTGCTGATGATATTATGTGATGGATACTTAATGAGAATTCTCTAAGTACTGCTGATCATACAATAGGACCTAGATAATACAGGCCTGGGTTGTGGTATTGAATACGTATTTCTATTCTTCCCCCTTCCTCCGACTCCCAGCTTTTTGAAGAAGTCTCCATGAGCGAGTTCTTACGTGATGCGGCGCTAGCCCTTCCCTTCTAATGACTTGGCTCATCAGTGATCAGTGACAAATGCCGCTCAAATTCATGGATCATGCCTTCAAACACTTCTTAACTTTCAAATTGATCCAAGCAAATACGTACTGTTAAGCTGTCCGAGGCTTCAAGCCGTTTATCCGTCTTCCCAACGCAGCGATGTGGCCCAGCAATAATCACCTTTCACTCTCGGCCTATTATCATTTACCAGCCTTCATAACAGAATGCCTGAGGCTGCCCACAGATATACTTGGAATGAAATTGAGATACCTGGAACATTGGGCGCATGCGCTACTGTAGTAATGTTAGTACACTGCACACTATGAATT